GAGGATGTTAAAATTTCTCATTAATCCTGTAATTTAGGTCTGCTTATTTAGAAGAAGGAAAAAGACAGGAGTGAAGGATCAGTACTTTGGAATTTCTACTGTGTGCAGTGAGTCACAATGGACTACTCAAATTAAGAATAACAAAAGATCAATTACATGTTAAGTGCATGATAATTTTTTTTTATATACATATAAATTGTTTCCTACTTACTGATTTCAAAAATATTCTGTAGGAGATGGCATATTGTGGATTAACTTGAACTCACACCAAAAAAGTCTGCGTACAGCCTATTTCTCTAGGTGTGCTTAATCGCTACACTGAAGTACAGGTATAACAATACTATTTAGCTTACTATAAAAGGAGAAACAATTTATAAGAAAAATAACACTGCATCATTCTGCCAATAACTGTTAGAACATATCAGCCAGACTGGATTGGGGAAGACACTGATAAGAAAAGTAGAAACTGTATCAGTCAAGTGACACTTGCAGGAAGTTTTGTTGCCACTTATTTAAGTAAACTAATTAAGATTTTCTTGATGAAGATTATCAAAATTATTCACCTCTATGTCATCTCCCCAGAACCTGTTAGTCTAATAAGATCGCTGTAAATACAAACTGAACAGGTTGCTGCCAAGTTCTTAATCTTCAGTTAATATTTCACAGCTTATGTGACATTTTTGAAAAGAGCAATAATGTGCAATAATTTCGTAATGACAAATTAAGATAAAATGTTTCGGACAGAGGAAGGAAGAAAGTGACTAAGTGTGAAGTTCCCTCCGAATGAACATCATAAGGGATCCTTGAGCACGCCATCAGGACAAAAAATAGAACAGTTCTCACCAACATTAAGGCATTTAGCTCGCTAACTCTTCATGCTGAAGTAACATCAGTGTGGTGACCTTAAGAGAGCATATAAAGAAACTAACAGTGCTGCTGAATTAATCTCACAGAAGTACATTCCTCACAGATCTACTATCACTGGCAACTTAACCAGTAAAGAAGGGGGGAAGGAGGGGTGGAAAGTAGTATCAGGCATTCTCAACAGTACGTGGGGCCTTAGAATTTTTGGCCTTTTAAGGGCAAACCAGCCTCATTCAAGATTTCTGTCCTAATCACCACCTAAAAATGCTGCTTCTGACACAGAAGTTTTCTTCATGTTCTTATATAATAGCTTTACTTTGTCAGCTGCTCCTAGAAGATCAACTAAAATTCACACAGCCTGTTTATACTCATCACCACAAACTGGAAGATATCCTAGACAGCATGTCATCCTGCTGCAGCATACAGGGAAATAAAAAAACGCTACCAACATAATTCTGAGAATATTAATCTTATAGGCTCACTTTAGTCCATGAATCCTTTTCTACATTATATCCATTACAACAAGAATGTTCTGGGGTGACATTAGTGAACTAGAAAGGAAAAAATACCTCTTTGTAGCATGACAAGACATCTTGTGGCTACAGTATCACTCATACTAGATGCCTCCTGGGGGCATGATTAGCTCTGCATGAAGCAAAGGATATTAATACTAATTTTGTTTGATGCACTCTTGTCAGCAAGAATAGACATGCATTTATCCGAACGGGGAGATTTATTCCACTTAAGATTTAAGCAGCCCCCACAATAAATCAGAATCCAGCCACAATTAGGTAATAATCCCTTTTGTACCAGCATAACTTCACAGGCAGAAAAGGGTTGTCAGAATTTCAAGCTAGCTAGTAGTGAAGAACACAGAACTGAAATAGGGAGGGAGAAAAAAAGTGATTTTTGCTTTTGCTCTTTATTGGGAAACAACAGCAGAATCTCACCAAGTTCTTCTCAGAAGACATGGCTCTTTGTTTCCTAGCATCTAGAAGGCGAGGATAGTCGTGCCAGTGACAAGTGTGGATTTTAACTGATTTGGCTTTATTTTTCTCATTTTGTCTCTGAGCTTCCAGACTCTTCATTTGCCAATGCTTTCCCCTCTCTCTGCTCTTTCAGGAGAGTCCTGTTGGTGTTTGTGAAGTAGTCCTAAACCGTGAAGCATTCTAGCTTTTAAGTAGTAAAGTATATTTGCTTATCTCCTGTACACCACGTATCATGGTGGAAGAATCAACATGACAGATTTAAATGGTGTGCTAAGAAGTCATAGCTGCACGTGTCATATCAGTCACCAGAGACTCTGGTCATCTCTGCAGTTACCAGAATTTATCCACGTGACTGAAGTAAAAGAACACTGGTTTAACACTTGCACCTAAGTATCTCATCTGAAGTTAAAGCTCAGCCAAACTGGCTAATAGACATATTTGTATATATTGCTCTGCAAATGGCAAGTGATTTGTCTCACATATACAACACATGCAAGTGGACCAAGAAAAAAACTTGTGTATTTGAATATGTCTGTATTCTATAAAAGCAGATCTCTGCTTTCTGCTTTCGTTCTCTACAAGCTTTGTGCACTTATTTTCAGAAACAATCTTCCTTAAAAATACTTACATTATCCCTAATAGTGAATAACCATTCACCTGTGCATTCTGACACAAAGAGCTGATAGCTGCTTGAAGAGTAGTTACTGGAAATGGACTGCAAGAGCTTCTCAGGGTTATTTTCGTAATTTATTTTCCAAATAAATAAAGCAAAGCTAACTGAAATGCAACTTGTCAGAGATCTTGCAAGATCAAAATGGTGCCATAAAGGTCAACAATACACCAGAATTGAACGTAAGAGTAAGCAGGAATAACCATAAAATAACACCATGCATTAGAATTCGCACACAAGTGTTCTAAGTACAATGGCAGAAACAAGAAATTTGGAAAATTTCAAGCTCCAGAACATTCTGAACTCAAGTGCCACTTATAGGCATGCATCTTAAGTACAAACTACTTTAATCTCACAGTCTCAAAGGAAACCGTAATGTCATCTTTTAATTTTAAGGGCAGAAGAATACCAAAGGCAAAACCAGAATTACAAAAGGTATCTTCCCTGCTCCCACAGATATTCTGTATGGGTTTTACTTCTTGTTCAGGTGTTTCGTTCATTCAGTTCTTACACAATACATACAGAAATTCACTACTCCTCTGTACCAACACTAAGAGATTCCACCTTCAGATGCATGACTGTGATCTCACTGATTCAAATAACAGCTTTACCATGTCTTCGAGAATATTATAAAGCTACCTATGAAATTATTCTACCCAGCAGATTAAGCACAGATGAGATAAATGAAATTAGAGGAGCATACAAAGCAATTTTGCAGAAAAGTGTTCTAAGGAATGAAATGAAATCCTTTGCAGGGCTGGAAGAAGTTATCTCTGGGCTACCAATTTGTCACTCTGTGGCTACTCTGGTTGATAAGAAGAAGAAAAAGGTATTCGTCTTCTAAGAACCATTCTCCATCTACCAAATTTACAATATTGTAATACCTAGAAATCCTCTTTCCTCTATCACTGTCTCAGATAGCAAAGAAAGCTGGATTTATTCAGTTCTGCCATGCTTTATTCATACATACAAGAAGTGAGGGATATGATTTGCCCTTCCAAAATTCACTGCAACACAGGCCATATACAAATTCAAGCTAATTTCTTCCCAAAGCTCATTTTTTACCCCACCACTAATGTACTGTCAACACCAGAGTTACTTGACTCGAGGTTTTTCAACTTGTATCGTAGAGAAAAAAGGAAAATAGACCATCTGCTACTAGATTAATAAGAACACTGGATATTGCTTGTAATTAAAAAGGAGAAAAAGAACATGTACTCAATTCTGCATTGTGGGTGACAAGGAGCCTTGAAACTGTCTTTTGCTTTTTGCACAGACTTTGTAGTGCCCTTATACAGCAGTTCTCATACTTTCCTCTTTTTGTAGGAAAAAAAAATGACAACTAGGCTGCCTGTCTTCTAAAAGAAATGTATACAAATTGTTTTCACAGACACTGAAAGTGCATATACAAGAGCGTGCAAACTTCTGTCTGCAGAGAACTGACTAAATACCACAAGATTTGTAGAAACAAGTTACCAAATATCTTTATGAACTGCTTAAAGCAATTCTATTCACTTAAGCTTTTTTTTTTTTAATCAACATAAGATTATTTAAACCCAGTCCATGCACACCTCTTTTATCCTTTCACCTTGACTTCCAATTTTTCTGTGTACTTTAAAAGCTTGTCAAAAAAAGTCCATTCCATCACTAGTACCACTAGATGAAAAACCTAGGGGAATTTTTATTATTTTTTTTTCTTTTTTTTTTTTTTTACAAAGTAGTTCTGAAACTTCCTATATTAGCCAAAAGATTAAATACTGCAGACTAATATACAAGAGCATTTAAAAAAGCCTTCTAAGGCAAAGGCAAGAAGAAATGCGCTGTATGTTGATTCATCAATCCATTTTCTAATATGTAGATCATTGTTAAAAATAACAGCAAGCACAGAAAACGCAGAGGAAAAAAAAGAGAATATTGCATCTTTTCCTGTGATGGAACATCAACAGAAGTACCTCAGCTACAGCCCTTCAGCTACAAAAACAGCATCTTCTGTATCATAGGAGGACTGCTTCAAACAAATACTTGGTCCACAGAAACACACCAGGAAGTACAGCAGATCACCATTTCTGTGTTGAAGTCTCCATATCCCTTCACACTAACCTTACTCATGATTGCCAGCAGAACATACACTGCCTCAGTTTAATACATCTTACACAGATGTTACTCTCTAGAAAACATTTTAGGTTACAGCACTTGAAAAAAGGTATTTTGGAAGTTGTCATGACAGCATGACCTTAGCATGCCAATACAAGAACACACCAATGAAGGAGAACAATAGACAATCTGAATAGACCAGCACCAATTCCTCCTTTTTTTGATTATCTCAACTTCATGCATTCAAAAAGGGCCCCCTTTGAGAAGTGATCTCACTATCTTGAAATTCAACTTTGCAATGGAATTAATTCTTCCACCACTTGTTTAATACTATTTTTCTGAGCACGTTGTTAAGGGGGCAGGTCGTTTAATATTTTCTTTACCTTCACAATATGTGGAGTCCCCCTGGACAGAGAGATAACCATTCTTGCATTCACATGTAGCCTTTGTGTTCCAGTTTTTGCACTCTGAATTTTCACCACATCTGTATCCTTCTGCACAGAAGTTATGGCCTGAAATACAAGGAAATGCAAATAGGGATTAAAACATGCTTATTTCAGATTTAAAATTTACATTGACCATATTAATTTCTTGAAAGCTTCAGCTTGTTATATGTTAGAAATTCACTCTATAATCAATTTTGGTACACAGGCTTTTTGAATTCCTCCATCAATTTGTACTCAAGCCTTTTTTTTTTTTTTTTTCTCCAAGCATTCACTTGCCTGGATGGCTTTAGTAAGGAAAAAAGACAACTTCAGAGGAGGAAACCATGGCAATTCATTAATCTGCTACAGAATCTATGCACGTTATATATTTAACTTGCGTCGAAAAATAAAATGAAATGTAAAAATTAAGGGGCAGTTATACTCATTAGCCATTTATGCTACCAGAGTATTTGTCTTTTTTTGCCTTTATAATTGAAACTGAGCACTGGAACCCAAAACTCCTGCATTCAGCATCCAATTTATCATCTCTAAGCAAGACTTCTATTCTGTTAATATTCTAGATATTACACCAGAGACAAGGTGTTTGTTGCTTGGTTGATTTTTTTTAATATTTTTTTTTTCCACTGTTTCCCTGACACCATGACATTCCAGGCTATTTTCTGCTCCTTCAGAATAATTAATTTTGAACTAGCACACAGCATTAACATGCTTAATTACTAGTAGTAGACACTGCAACTAAAAGCCCACATAATATATCAGTGCATTGCATTAGTTACTATAAAATAATACATTTCAATTTAGCGTAGATTACTACTACTGTGCTGGGACTTGAGAGGCATAAATAACCAACTTTAGACAACGATAAGCCATGATAAAAAGATACACCTCCTTCCTTCTCATCCAAACCTTTAAAAAACTATTTCATTTTTCTCAGCATGTTTTCATTACAATAGTCCTTATATCATTTTCTGCATCAAAAACAATTGATAGGCTCTAAGAAACTTTCCACTATTCTCCTCTCATTAGAAATATATGATAATAGAACCTACTACTTTTCTAGATTGCCTTTAGCATTTGTTATTATGAATATGTTCTTATTATTACCCATGAAACACCATTTCCTGCCTTTTAAAAATGTTAACCAAGAGTGGCTCAAGCTCCACTTCCCACAGCATTTCAAAAGATTTGTTCAACACATCCATAAGCAAAAAGCAGCAAACCTGTTCTTCTAAGAGCATGCACAGTGCTGTATGCTTTCAAGCTTTTACAAAACAAACGTCATTTAAGGTTAACCTGCAGAAAAATGTGCATGACAGTATTGAATTGTAAGGGCTCACTGTCACAGTACACATTCTATTGAATCAGAGGCTCTTGCAAGTGTTTTTTCCCCCACAGTAAGGACACACACCTAGCACTTCAAAAGCACTGACAGGCTCATATCCAGGATGTGGTGTTGTACTTCTTAGACCTTGGTCTGCATTCTCCCCAGCTGGGGTTTTGAAGGTGAAAAAGGAATAAATGCTATCTATTCTTGGCAGTTCATATTGGGTCCGAGTGTTTATCGTGCTTTTCTGGTGAATAAAGACCAGTTTGTATTTGGACCACCCTGCAAAAAAAATAAGCTACCTGTGTTGTTCACACTTTTAGGTCCAATTCAATGACTAATTCAGGTAAACACTTAAATTCATTCATATTCAGCAGGCTGGAACATGCCTAGGGCTGCTGACTGGCTAGTGCTGTGCTTATACTCCTAAGAAGAGAGGGCCCTGAGCACTGACTAAAATGTCAATCTATTGATGGGAGCATCTACTCACCCTCAAGCAACCAGAATGCAAAAAACCACAAACATCTGATATTTATTAGTTCTCGACCATGAAATGATCTATGGTGTTCCTTCATCATACCTACACAAATGGAAAAACTACCCAATGTACTCTGAATGCCAACCAGCCACGGATGGCAGCTAGCAGAGGGCACACATTGCTATTGACCAGGTGAAAATAACTGAATTACTGAGATTTCCAAATATTCAGCCAATTCTTATCTAGACAGTCAACGCCTCTCTAAGTACAAGAAAAGCCTTAAAATAGAATCATCACATGTGAGCAAGCAAGCAATTGGAGAGGATTTGACAGAAGCACAGAAAATCTTAAATAGATCAGATCATCTAAGCTAATTTCAGGCCAACACAGATGACAAGGCAAATGAGCGTGAATTAAAATTACAGATAAACACATTTAGAACAGATGTCAGAAACCATTTTCCCCACACACATACAGTCATGAATGTTCACAACAGCCCTTCAAAATTATTCAAGATGGGTGTTAAATATTGAAGAGCGTGTTTACATTTTTTTTTTTTATAGGCACAATGACCTCTGCTCCTTGCCCAAACATTTCTAATAACATTACTCTTCCTTATCAAGGCTGCAGAAATGTTTGCTCCCATTTTTCTTAAGAGCATCCTCCATATCTTTTCATCAGCAATATCTGACTGCAGAACTACCACCCCTAATGTACTAAACCAAGCGTGAAAGAGGTCAATTTTCATGATGCCAGGCATAAAACTATCACTTGTGTACCTATCAGAAATTGCACAGTTTACTGCTCCCAAGTCAGATTATCTAAAATTAAACATTCATTCTATTTGGGGCACCCAAACATTGCTCTCATTTTTCCAGGCTTCTCAGTATCTTCACATTCCAGTTCCCCAAACCTGCCTTTCCAAAGCAGTGTGCTAAACTGTTTTGCGATGACATCAAGGTTTGCCTATCTTTTAAGTACCAACTATATTGGTGATTTGGTTTAATTGTTGATTGAAGAATGCAAGAATTCACTCAAAAGCATAGCTGCAATCAAATATACCCTACATACATACCCTCACACTGATGAGCCTCCCAGATTTCTGAGGGTTTCCTTGTAACATCTGTAATGCTTTCTGCACTCCTTCCAGTGTCCCCAGCTGTTCACTTTAGGAACTGTAATCCCCCTCTCTCTTGCTGTTCAAGAAACTCCCCTGCAGCAATCCACATTTTCACTGTTTCACACGTCAGAGGCTTCTAAAAAGAGTGCTGATGATGCCTCCATTAATAACATTAGCTATGTTTAAAAGGTTCAAGGTCCTTTCACCCTCAAAATCTTTTAACTTCTTATGCTTTAGTCCCACAGTAACTAATGTAAATATGTAAAGTAAATCTGGGAAACACCTCATAGGAAGTCATAAAATATGCACTAGCAATTATGTCCTTTCACGATCTGAACCAGTTTTTAAAACAAGTCATGAGCAATGAAGCACTTTGAACAGCAGTTTTTATGCCTTCAGAGTCTGAGGTCCCAGAACTCAGTAGTGTGACATAAGAGCAACTTCCTAAATTCTTTCAAGCTGCTACTTGACTGCAGATCTTATTAAACACTCTATTTCTGTGCATTAGAATAATTGTACTGCACATCCTACAAGATTCTAAATATTTCCTTTTCCCTTTTGCAAACAAAGGTCTTTTAAATACCAAATACAGTTAAAAATATGTATATCCAGTACTTAGTTATCAACCTGCGTTAAACCTTCATAAAAATAAAACCTTGCTATAACACGTACTTCACAGCAACGCAAGAGAATTATTTGATTTCTGAAAAAGCAAAGCCCAAGCTTGCAGCTAGACAGAGATGGGAAGTATGTTAACTGAAGAGTGTTCTCATGCCTTAAGTGAAATAATTGAAATCCCCTTAACACAAAGCAAAGCAGAACAAGTAAGGATGGCAGAAGCCACCATTTTTAGATTGTAATTCTGTGTCAAAAGTAAAATGCATGCTTAAGATTATCTGTAGGATTCTCTACTTCCTGTTAAATCAGTGTCAGCAGTCAATCCAAATCTACCAGCCAAAGCGTATTACAGGACAGCAAATGAACATTTCTGCAGGAAACCAGCTCTTGCTACTTCATTATTTCCTCACACTCTCACATTTAGGGAGAGTCAGATTGAAGGAGCTAGGGCTATTATAGAGGCTCTTCTAACATATCAAAATTATGAGCATAACAGAAAAACTCTCGTGAAATTTTTTTGAATCACTCATGCAAAGGAGAAAAAAATCCACTATTTCAAAATTATACACTGTGTTTGGCAAGGAGGAAAATAGCTGAAGGGAACAGCATAAAACATTCATGACACTATGAATGCTATAAAAAAGTGATTTGAAAAAAAAAAAAAAAAAGGAGTAAAAAATAAATTTTAGCACACCAATATTTTTAAATTTTTTGCAGTTAACTAAACTTTTCATAAGCCTGAAAGAGAGCTTAATAATGCCATATTGTCTTGCTAAAAAGTACGAAGTAGCCACATAGTTCAAACATCTATATTTATGTGGAAACACAAAAATCCATGGTAAAACAATACGCGGCGCACATAATATTCATGGATAGATTCTACATGCAGATCTTCTGAGGCCTGTTTTTAAATTCAAGTACATCAAATCACCAAAACTGTCATCATAAAGCAAGCTTCTTCCCTTCTATGTCTGCTTTGCTGCAAACATCATACGATCATTTTAAACATGGGCTGAACATGACAGCTAGAGCAAGTTGGCCAGCACTGGTTCCACAGAGAAGCTGTGGAAACCTCATCTCTGAAGGCGTTCAAGGCCAGGCTGGATGAGGTCCTGGGCAGCCTGATCTAATGGTTGGTGAGAGATCTTCAAGCAGGTCCAGAGGAGGGCACTGAGATGATCAGAGGGCTGGAGCCGCTCTCCTATGAGGAAAGGTTGAGGGAACTGGGCTTGTTTGGCTTGGAAAAGAGAAGGCTCCGGGGAGACCATGAGGTGCAGCCGTCCAGTACTTGAAGGGAGCGCATAAACAGGAGGGGGAACGGCTGTTGATGAAGGGAGATAGGGAGAGGACAAGAGGGAACGGTGTTAGACTGAGACAGGGGAGGCTTAGGCGAGATGTTAGGAGGAAGTTTTTCACACAGAGGGCGGTGACAGACTGGAGCATGTTGCCCAAGGAGGTTGTGGATGCCCCATCCCTGGAGGCATTCAAGGCCAGGCTGATTGCGGCTCTGAGCAGCCTGGTCTGGT